ATAAAGATTACCACACTAATAAAATGAACAAAATGAAACCACTCATCTTTATGCTGATTACAAGAAACACAAACATTGAGAATTCAGAAAAGTTGAAGTCATAGATATATGGAAAAAGATATATTTTATAGACTTTTATAAAAGAATGATAATTTATTAAAAAAATATTTAGTTCACTAAGAAACTAAGAGACTACTTTTTTTTTTTTTAGTTGTAGGTGGACACAATACCTTTGTTTTATTTATTTATATGTGGTGCTGAGGATCGAACCCAGGGCCTCACACGTTAGGCGAGTGCTCTACCGCTGAGCCCCAGCCCCACCCAAGAGACTACATTTGTATGTACCAAATAAAATGAAACTCAAAATACATGAAGTAACGTTTGAGAAAATTACATAAATAGACATAAATAATCAGTAACTGAGACCAAACATAAATAATCATTAAGGAGTATGGAATCTTTGGACAATTTTATAATCCTGACCAAATGAGCATATATAAAGCATTTACCTAATATCTGCAGAATATGTACATTGATTTTAAATAAACACAGAGCACTTATAAAAAATGACTATATACTGGATTGTAAAGTAAGTCTCAACATTTTTCAGAAGATAAAATTGTTGAATTACATGATTTAATCATAATATAATTAAGTTAGACATCAGTAAGTCCTGTAGAACAAAGCTTAGAAATTTATAGGTATGTGTAGCTGTGTGTAGAGATACAGATGTAGGTAGGGGTATGTGTGTATATTAAAAAAGTTAAAAGATCCCTTTCTTAGCATCCATTTCAAGAAGTTACAATAGCAAAGTAAATCTAAAGGAACCAGAAAGATGAGCAGGTACTATATTAATGAGTTAAGAAAACAATATAAAATGCAAACAAGAAACAAAATCAAAAGTCACTTCCTTAAAAAAGAGTAAAAATAATAGTAAATTAAATTAATAGATATTGTCAGTTACATATTATAGCATTAATATACTAATATCTACCAAATGTAAATAAGCAGTTAACCTTTTGTCCTATCAGCCTCACTTCTAGTATTCTACCATGCACTTCCATAAGAATCAACCAAAATAAGTAGAGTTACAGTATATACACCCAATGTATGCTATAAATTTATTAAAAATAATGTATTAATATGGGACATATTTTAAGTAGAGAAAGGGTACATGGAAGATACATGGCTTTATATAAGAAGGGAGAAAAACTAAAGATGTGTACAAACATGAAAAAAGAAAACTTTGTGTGTATATTATATGTATACATTTTATGTGTATATATACATATATATACATATGTGTGTATACACATATACATATACATACTTATATGTATGTGTATATACACACACATACGTAGATATATATGTAATACCCTATCAGAACAGAATAGAAAAAGTAGAAACAGAACTATGCATGTGAGAAAATTTGATATTTATAAAATATGGTGTTGCAGGTCATTGGGAAAAAGAATAAGATGATTAAATTTTGTCAAGTTAAATGATTATATGAAAAAAAATTGAGTTCATACCTTGACATGAAAGTCAATTTCAGGAACATTTCAAGCAAATGTGAAGCATAAAACCTCTAAGAAGAAAATATAGGTAGGAGAGTGTTCCATAAATAAGACCAAAATGTCAAATATGTAAATTTCTACTGTAGAGTAATTTTTAAGTTAAAAATTTTTTATTATAGGGGCTGGGGTTGTGGCTCAGTGGTAGAGTGCTTGCCTCGCACGTGTGGGGCACTGGGTTCAATCCTCAACATCGCATAAAAATAAATAAATAAAGATATTGTGTTAATCTACAACCAAAAAAATTATTTTTTTAAATTTTTTACTATAAAGTAAAAAGCTGTATATTCGATCACATTAAAAGTAAATTTATGCTCCCATCCCCAAAAAAACCTATTATACAAAAGGCCACAGACTGAGAAGAGTAATTTATAAAGTATTTAATTAACAATTAGTACCCAGAATATATAATGAACTTTAGCAAATCAGCAAAGAAAAGATAGCCCAATATAAAAAATAACCAGTAGATAGTAACATACAAATCATAGCCAAGAAATCCTAATAGCCAGTAAACCTGAAAGATATTCAAACTTACACAGTAATTAGGGAAATGTACATTAAAACTACTGTAAGACACCACTTCATAATTATCTGATTATCAAAAGCTAGCAGTTTATGGGGCTGGAGATGTGGCTCAAGTGGTAGCGCGCTCACCTGGCATGCCTGCGATCCAGGTTCGATCCCCAGCACCACATACAAACAAAGATGTTGTGTCCACTGAATACTAAAAAATAAAAAATATTAAAAAAAAAAAGCTAGCAGTTTGGCAGTATCTATTAATAAATGCATACACCCATTGACCTGGTTTCAGGAAATTATCGTATAGATACGTGTATACATTGGAATGTAGTTGAAGTATAAGAATACTCATTGCTGCTTTACCTGTATAGCAAAATAGTGGAAATATCCTATATATCCATCAATTCATGTCTGGTTAAATAAATTAACAAAAATTGTTAGAGTGGGACTGAGAGGCTTTTCTTTGTATGCTGGAATGCAATTAATATCAAGCTAGATTAAGTGAAAAAATGCAGAAGGCAAAAGAATATATAAAATGTTCCTTTTTGTATTATTGTAAGAAAGAAAGATCTTATATCTTTATGTGTATAGTCTTATGTAGATTTAGTTTGGCTCTGGAGCAAGGAACAAGGGAAGACACAGGAAATGGGTAATCTTTACACTGGATACCTTTTTTGTACAGGTAAAAAAACAAAAATTTAGATAACCTTACCCTATGGTATGACTGCACATATGGTGTCACTCCACAACATATAACCAGAGAAATGAAAAGTTGTGCTCCATTTTGTGTAAAATGAATCGAATTACAATCTGCTGTCATGTATACCTAATTAGAATAAATCAATTTTTTTTAAAAAATTGAACTAGTTTTATATAATACCCTTTTTTTTAAGGAGATAGTAAAGAGTGCCCAAAAAAGACAACAAAAGTGGTAAATACTCATTATGGTATTTTGAAGCATGGGATTATATTACTGGAATTATGCTACTTGGATTTAAATTTTACTTTCCAACCTTATTGGCTCCGTGAGGTTGTACAGGTTATTTATGCTTCTTGTGTCCCATTTTAATCATCTGTAAAGTGGGAACATTATAGTACTTACACCCACGTTATAAGTTTATGTGATGTTTAAATCCATTTAATCCAGAGAGCACATTTTTCAGCATATACAGTAAATACTACTTACTATGTATGAGTGATTTCAGTAGTTTTTAAGTAGTATAAAGGTATAATAGTATTTGATAGTGTGATCACTTGTCTTTTATAATTTTCAGTTAGCAATAGAATACTCTGTATTTCAAAACATAGCCTTATAGCAGAATAAAAGAAAATTCTTACTAAATGCCATCCTTCTGAATTTATCAGCTCTGTGGATCAGCAAAGTATATTCTTGTTTTTCTCTGATATATTTCTTTCTAGAAATGTGAACATAATTTGAGCAAGCCGGAATTTAATCCAACATCTATCAAATTCAAAATCCAACTGGTTGCTGTGTGAGTATTTGGGGTTGGTGTTTTGTATTGATTTTGGTTTTGGGTTTTATTCAGTATGAAAGAAATAGAAAAATTATATCAGAATAATGTTACCATTCCATTCCTGTTCAAGTTTTGAATTTAGTTACATTCTATGAAATTTTAGGGGCAGAGTGGTATGTTGATTATTAGGTAGAAAGTCATTATTCATTCCTTACAAATTAAAAAGTACCTAAGTTTGGGGATAATACTTTCAAAAACTAAAAAATAATAAAGTATAACAAATTAAAGAGTATGCCTGAAGCAATGTTAATTTTATTTTGAGTGGAATAAAAGTGATTAAAGTAGTGTTAACTCACTGAGGCTTATCAGTAGAAGGAGATTTTGTAAATAAAAATCACCCATCAAATAAGAAAAATATTTTGAAAAATTATGAAAATATTGACTAAATGTAAAATAAGCATTTCCTTCCAAGCAAGGAAAGAAACCACTAAGGAAACACCTTTGACATTGGCAAAATGAAACATGAGCTGTAAAAGATAAAAAATTAACAGACAATAGAACAGGAAAGAGTATTTGGCACTCGTGACAAGTTAATAGCCCTGGTTTGTAGAATTTTCACCAATTCCAACATAAAAATAGAAGTAGTGAGATGGGTTGTAAGGGTAAAGGGTTTGAACAGGCAGCATGAGGAGAAATTCAAAATGGCCAGAAGATACATATGAAAAAATGCTAAGATTTGATTGGAAAAAAAAAAAAAAAGATTTGATTGGAAAGGATTTAAAAATAGCATCTCATGCTCATGAGAATGTAGGTAAATATTTATTCACATACATTATTGATAGGATTATGAATTGCTAGAATCTTTTTGGAGAATGGTCTGAGAATATCAAGACAAATTACAGACTTTTTAACCCAACAGTGCTATCTCAGGAATCTATTCTGTAGAAACAAAAGCAATACATAAGGATTCATTTTACACAGATATATCCTAAAAATGTATTGTAGCATATTTTTTTTAAGTTGATGCACAGTCTCTCTCTTTTTTTTTTTTTTTTTTTTGGTAACAGAGATTGAACTCAGAGGTACTTGACGACCAAGCCACATCCATAGCCCTATTTTGTATTTTATTTACAGACAGGGTCTCACTGAATTGCTAAGTATCTTGGTTTTGCTGAGGCTGGCTCTGAACTCCAGATCCTCCTGCCTCAGCCTCCCAAGCTGCTGGGAATACAGGCATGCACTATTGCTGGCATGTATTGTAGCATTTTAATGGTAAAAACTGGAAACAATTTTCAGTGTCAAACTGATTAGCCATCAGTGAGGAAATTACTTATTAAATTGAGGTACATTCCTACAATACATTATTATACAGCAATTTTTTAAAAAGCCATTGGACTGGATGCAGTGGCAAACACCTGTAATACCAACTACTTAGGAGGCGCTGAGGCAGGAGGATTCAACTTGGAGACCAACCTTGGCAATTTAGCAAGACCCTGTCTCAAAATGAAAAACTGAGCTGGGGCCATAAGTCAGTGGTAGAGCACCCCTGGTTTCAGTCTGCAATACTACAAAAAAAAGGCGGGGGCGACAAAAACATTGGGAAGTACTAAACTGGTGAGTTAGGAAGTTAGGAGAGTTAGGTGTGGGGTCTCTCACTCTATTTGTCTAAAGTTATTTCCCTCATCTCTGAAATAGGAGTAATGCCTCCCCATGAGGTTGTTGAAAAGAATTATATAAGCTATTTTATTTGCATGTCATGTAACTCTAACTTACCATTTTAAAATATGTTGTTTTAAAAATTAAAAAAAAAATTAAAAAAATACATATATATGTTCTTTTTCCTAATTACTCTTTATTTAATATATAACTGGTTAGGATTAAGAGAACTACAAAAATGGCACATGTAAATTCTAGGATTAACTACTTTCTTAATTAAGACTAATTTCATACAGAAACCCTGAATGGTCAGCCATGTTTAGCATCACTTTCTTAAGCTTGCTTTGAGAAAAAGTGTTGTTGTTTTTTTCCTCCTATCATCACAGTAGAATCGCCTGGTAGTCTTAATACAGATTCCCTAGTTTACATACCTCAGACCAACTGAATCCAAACTCCTTTTAGGGAACCCTTGAATTTCAGTTAAATTACTCAATTAATCCTGCTGTTTTCTATGACAAATATGTAGCTTGAATTTAAAATATCTTATTTCCTTGATTATAAGTGTGGGTTTTTTCACTTTTAGTGTTGCTGCAGGAGATTTTGTTTTATGTTAATATACATGCACAGCTAACATTTACACATTTCATTGCAAACACTTTTTGTACATATTATTTAACTTTTCTTCACAAAAGATAAATGCCATTATTATCCTCATTTTATAAATGAAAATTTTGGTATCAAGAGATTGAACCCAGGGGCACTGAACCACAGCTCCAGCCCTTTTTATATTTTAAGACCAGGTCTCACTAAGTTGCTTATTAGGGACTTGCTAAATTGCTGAAGCTGACCTTGAACTCCTAATCCTCCTGCCTCAGCTTCCCATGTCACTGGGATTACAAGCATACGCAATATTTTTTTGTTTTATTCAGAAAGGCAGCATAAAACATAGTGATTAAAAGCAAGATCATTGGAATTAAACTGCCAGAGTGAATTCTGGAATTTACTGTGCCCAGTTTCTTCAATTTATTTATTTATTTGATAGTGGAGATAATCCCATTCCATGCAGTTGCAGTGAAGATTGCATTAACCAGTACTTATAAAGTGCTTAGAACATGGCCTGGCATACAAGTGCTATTTAAGTATTTGGTAAGAATGTGTTTTTGTAGGAACTGCAGTGGCACATTTGGTTAGTGTGCAGTACTTGTAAGAATATGTTTTTATAGCCTCAAAACATATCACATGAGATTTGGATTGTATAAGCAGTTGCCTTCTAGAACTATAAAAATGAAATAAGATCAAAAAATATATATCTAATGAGGAAAATATCAGTCATGAAACAAATACAACATAGGCTATAAACTAGCACTGTACATATAGACTCTGTACCTAAGATTTCAGAAAGCACTTGCTACCAGTTGGGTTTTCGTGTCTTATCTGTTACTGTGGCGATAAGATTCTTTAAAATTTTTTTCTCTTATATTTTCTATTTAACATAAGAAATTCTTTATTTATTGTACTACCTTTTTAAAAAGTAATAATAATTTCAAGAGATTCTGGTGAACATTAATGCATTTTTCTATTCATCAATAGCAATTATATTCCAGAAGTGAGAATCATGTCAATTCCCAACCTTCGCTACATGAAGGTTAGTACATTACTTATTAGCAGAAAGAATTGACTGATTATTGATGTGTGCATGTGTGTTTGCTGTTGGATACAGTGAGCAAGGTGTAGAAAATGAGTCAGTTTGGAATAATAAAGATTGAGACTTTAAGTTGTTTTAAGCTGGGATTCTCAACAGCAGCAACTTCGGAATGTATATAGAAGGAGCAAGATGCGCATTCTGTAAAGATAGATTCGTAAGTGAGGGAAAGAAAGATGATGGTGGACCCCATAGGCATCTGTCACTCTTCCCAGCCTGGAGATGCTTCATGGTCTTACATGTGTCTAAACATCTATACCAGAAATCAACTAAATTTCTTCTCTACCGTAGCCCTTTTCTTAATGTCCTGGTGTATACCCTTTTCCTCCACACTCCTCTCTCTCATACCTGTGTCTCTCTCTCTCTAGTGAATTATAATATATTCTGTAATATCTGTACAGCTCTTTCCTTTCATGCTGCTAACGAAAACATTTAAATGTAGTCTCTTCATTTGAAAAAGTATTTCGCTGATCTTGAGAATAGCAAACAGAGGTAAGTCACCATGGTTCAAGAAGCCTTAAAAGGGTCTTATTGTCTTGGTGTGTCATTTTTTTCTGTGTTAATACATCTTGCTAGGGCTAGGGTTGTGGCTCAGTGATAGAATGCTTGTCTGTCATGCATGAGGCACTGGGTTTGATCCTCAGCATCACATAAAAATAAATAAAGGTATAGTGTCCATCTACAACTAAAAAAATTTTTTTAAATACATTTTGCTAGCCTGTGACTCCCATATTTTATTTATGAGGTCCTCCTCTTTTTAGTCTCTAAATGGCCATCTAGGTGGGATGAGCGTGGATAATACACATTCCTGAGAATTTCTGGAGCTAGTAACTGGAATCTTTCATTTCCTCAGTGAAGTAGCAGGTCCAGAGAACATAGCCTACTATATAGATAATAGAATGGAGATCACTTAACACAGAGAATGCAGTAATGTAGAGGTATAGGTAGGTCTCATTGCTTAGGAAAACTGGAATGATTTTGTGAAATTCTTGGTGTAGCAGCTAAGAAAGTGGACATAGGTGGCAGTAGTGGCACATATCTGAGAGATGCTTTTCTCATCTTCCAGGAGAGCCAGGTCCTTCTGACTCTTACGAATCCTGTGGAAAACCTTACCCATGTGACTCTGTTTGAGTGTGAGGAGGGGGATCCTGATGATATCAATAGCACTGCTAAGGTAGGAATGTTTTGCCTCATCCTGACACACCCTAACTTTGTCTATGGGAGCCTCATTTGACCTGGCTTAAAAGACTCTGCACTGTCATTTCCACATCTAGTCAGCAACTTCTATTTCCACCTTCTAATTGTTTTTCTTTATCCCCAAACATATTGCCACTGCTCTGTTGGAAGCTCTCATGATTTCTGCCCTGATTTGTGATAGTACTTTCTACCTGACCTCACCATATTTCACATACCCCGCCTCTATTTCAGCCCATCATTTGTATTGCCACCAGAGTGATCTTTCTAAAATCCAACTGCACAGCATGCTGATCATTTATCATCTTTCTGGCTTTAGAATGAAGTCCAAATTCCTTGGCATAGCAGAAGAGCTCTATAATAACATCACTACTTTTCTTCCAGCCTGACCTTCCTCCACATTCTCAAATTTAGCATTCTCTAGATATTACTACATTAATTATTGTGATCCAAACAGATACAGTGAGTTTATAAACTTACATACTGGGGAATGGCATATACTGTTCATTTTACATAGAATGCCTCCTTACATATGTCCCTAGGGTAGATGCCCTTTCAGCCTCAGTCTAATGCATACTCATTCTTCAAGACCCATATAAAATATCTTCTTTTAAAAGCTGGGATATCTCTTCTAGATTTCATCTACTTAAATTATGCATAGAACTTACTAAATATTAAGATAATGTTTTTGACTCTTTAAAAATTAGTGTGAGTTGAATGAATGTAATACAACCTCCTTATATTTTGCTACTCAGTGATTCTTCTAGTACTGGAAATTTGGGGACAAGAATTTTTCTTTATAGATCACTTATTACTGATTTGTAATTCAGCATGATACTCAACAAAAATTGGTAAAAAGGATACCTATATCTTTAGCTGTTATTCAAATAATATTACTAAAGAATTTCTTTATCCCTTTTCTTCTGTTTTTAGTAATTTCCTTACTAGCATCACCTCCAGAGAGGCATTCAACTGTCCTTGCTTCATTTTTTTTTTTTTAATAATACTCATAGGACAGAGACAGAAGTGAGTGAGTGCCTGATACAGATACCCAACTTGAAAATATATATGCCCTCGCTCTCTGTTTCTCTATACACCATCCCTGCTACATTTATATCCATAATTAGAAATGTGGTTGGCATTGTTTATATTACACTCTGAGACAGCAAAGTTGAGGCCTAATTGCTACATATAGGTAAGTCTGAAGCCTGCATGACCATAATATACTCTGTCCCTTGTCAGAAAATGTTGTATTGAACTACTGTTTCTCTTTTATGTTTTTTTAAACTGTTGAGCTATTTGAGATATACCAAAAAATAGTATAATAAACACCATGTACTAATGTATCCCCTTAGGAAATATTAAAATAAAAAATAATTAAAAGGAAAAAAAAAAGAAATGAAACATTAAAGATATAACTGAAGCAATCAGTTCTCCCTGTTGATATCCCTGCTTCAGCTCCAGTGAAGAAGCAAGCAATCCATGTATCATTCCCATAGTTTCTTCATTCTTATTTATTGAAAATACACATATTCCTAAGTAGTGTTTTTAAACTTTGTATAAGTAGTATATGCTATATAAGTCCTGAAACTTGCTGTTCACCTCTGAATGTCTAGAGCAGTATAATACTTGTCATGTTCTGTTGTATGAGTGTGCAACACCACATTGCTCCTTTCTGAAGCAGGTCTGTCTGTGTTCTCCAGGTGGTGGTGCCTCCCAAAGAGCTCATTTTAGCTGGCAAGGATGCAGCAGCAGAATATGATGAGTTGGCAGAACCCCAGGATTTTCAGGATGATCCTGAGTGAGTGATCTTTTTGTGACCCCCAGAACACAATTGACTGATATAAGATGTCTATTTACATGCCTAAATTTTCTTACCTGAATATTGAAAATAACTTTTTTCCTTTCCTGCTTATAAAAATAATCACTGTATAAACTTTGGGAAATATATCTAAAATCATGAAGACGAAAATAAAATTACCCTACCATCCAAGATGAGCATCTTTTGTATTTTAGCGTTTATCCTTCCTAATATTTTTTCCATCTTTGGGATTATTCTGCAAACAATTTTTAGCTTTTCTTTTTGTTTGTTTGTTTCTTACCAGGGATTGGTCCCAGGAACATTTAACCACTGAGTCATCTCAGCCCTTTTTATTTTATTATTATTTTTTTTTATTTTGAGACAGGGTTTCACTAAGTTACTAGGGCCTTGCTAAGTTGCTGAGGCTGGCCTTGCCTCAGCTTCCCAAGTCACTAGGATTACAGGCATGTACCACTATGCCTAATCAGCCTTTGTTTTTTTACTTAAATATATTTTCTCACCTTAATAAAAATGTTTCATGTACATGTTTTTTAAATGATTTTGAGTAGAATAAGGTATTATTCAATCCCTGTAGATTTATTATTGGATTTGTTCCTCACTCACAGCCCCTTAGAATAATTCATAGTTCCTATTCTCATCCTTAATAATTGAGAAGTAAAATAATAAACTTTTCCTTGGATAGGGAATGCATTAGTAGGATCCAGTCTAAAATCAGAAACTGCATCCATTTTTTCAGCAGAGAGAATTTAATACAAAGAATTGTTAACTTGGCTACTTAAGAGGTTAAAAAGATCTCTGGTGCAGCAATTTTATGAAGCAGCCACCACCCTTAGCGCTAAGAGAACAAAGGGAAATAGTTAGAAATATTAAAATTCAAACTAGAAGAGAGGATTTAAAGGCTCCAAACTCTGAATTATAATGAGATGCAAACAATAATTACCATAATTTGGACAATACCCATTGTGTACATATATTGAAATACCACATTATACCTCATAAATATGTACTGTTTTATTACATGGTAATAAAAAAAAATTTTTTAATTTTGCAACATAGAATAGATAGGATTTAATACCAGATCCCAGGTACAGAAAATATTTCTCATTTTGTAATTAAATTCGAAGACCCTTGTTACTCAAAGTGTGGTCTATGGAACAACATGGGTGTCTCCTGAGAGTTTATAAGAAATGTAGACTCAGGTCCCATTCCTGACCTACTGAATCAGAGTGTGCATTGTAACAAGATCCCAGGTGCCTTGTATGCACCATAAAACTGCAAAGATCTATTCATATAAATTTGTAGCAGAGCTGGCACTTGTCTTTTGCAATGATAGCACAAGAACACCAGTATGTAAAGAAAAGCATAACACTTATCTCTTTCCATTTACAAAATAGTGTCTCTGTAGCTAGTGAACTTGCCATAAAATCACAACACACCAGCTTTCTTAAAATAAAAAAAAGTGCTAATGCCACTGTAATTTTTAATTACTGTAATAAAATTAAGAGTTCAGAGATAGTAGTAGAATCTATTTTATACTAATCAAATTAAATTTTGCTTGCCAGTAAGTGAATCCTCCTGCACATTAAGTGGGTATTGAAAATTCAAGGTTAAATCTTTGAAAAAAGCTGAATAATAATCAAAAAATGTTTTAGAACAATGTTTGAAATGGAAATTCTAACTAACCTGATTTGATTGTGCATTGTATACATGTATCAGATTATTATACTGTTCCCATAAATACGTAGAACTAAAATAACAATGAAAATTCAGAATTATTAAAATTTAGAAACTTGAAAGAAGCACCTCATGGAGCTAAAATTCAGACCTAATGGAAAGTACAGGAAACAATATCTTATTGGAGCTAAAATTCAGACCTAATGGAAAGTACAGGAAACAATATCTTATTGGAGCTAAAATTCAGACCTAATGGAAAGTACAGTAAACAATATCTTATTGGCATCTCAGAGTGGCATGATAAAGCTAGTCAGAAAAGAATTGGAAATCTTACATGAATACTACCACTATCTGGGTAGAGCGATGCTTACAAGAACCACAGCAAACAGGAAACTGAAATGGAGAAGCAAGACCCTTCTTCCTCTAAGCTTCTGTCTCCTTTAGAGTCCCCTGTTGACAGAACCTAATAGGGAGCCAGCCTACAAAGCGGAATCCTATGTCGAAAAGCAAGGTAGAAAAAGCTGGGTTTGGAGCTGAAAAACAATATCATGACAAACAGTCACAGGGAACATTTAAGGTTTTTTATAATAGAATGGTTCAAAAGCTCCCTCCTGGGGAGAAGAGAGAACATGGGATGGGTTGGAAAACTAAGTGAAGGCAAAGGTAAAGATTAGTACAGAGATAGTAAACTTCCATTAGCTTCAGAAGATACCAGGGCAGGTATTCTGTTTTGTTATGTGTGGAATTAAAGACTCCACCCCCAGAGGATCTCTTTAGCAGGTCTAGCTAGAGACCAGAAATCTGAAATTGTTTTGTTTTTTAAAAACCTGCTAGATATCAGGGGTTGCCTGGAAATTAAAGACAATGAAGGCTTTTTTCCTTTTACTGATTTTAACTTTTTTTTTTTTGCAAGGATTCAGTTAGTTATTGTAATACAAAATGTGTTGAGTTGATATAATTTAGAATGTATTCTCTGAAATCCTTGTTTTATGTGGGTCCTTCAGTTGGAGTAATTAGGTACAGACATTTGTTAAGCCAGGTGAATGTCTGAGAAGATCATCTGAGATACCAAATTCCAGGCTGAATACATAATAGATTGGTTTTAAAAAATACATTTTATGTTGTTATACTTAACAGAACATTCATATATATGGATATACTATATACTACTCTATGAATATGTAAGTTCTTAATTCCAGTGACTTTTCTTAGAGTAACAGTAAATTGTTCTTTTAATTGCCTTTTTACTTTTTGAAGATAAGTTATTAAAGAACAAACTTCAGGTACAGGTGAAGGAAAACTGAAATGGGAACCCTAACCAAAGAGACTTTTCTGTTCTAAAAATTCCCAATTTGCACAGGTTTTATAGAAACACACTAATTGAAGGCATTGCCTTAAAGCTTTGTGTTATTAAAACTTCAGACATCAGCCTATGACTGATAGAAATATTATGTGCATGAAGGTGAATGTAAAAGTAAATGGATGTTTACACTGCATGATAATAAGAGAAAAATAGGCAGCAACCCCAGCATACCAGTTGTGATAAATTCATGATGGACTGCTATGCAATAATTGCATGAAATGTAGAAAATTTATGGACACCAATATGGAAAGGTGTTTAGTATAAACCAGAGACAGGGGCGGAGGGAGGGAGCAAGTTATATACTATGTTTTAGTCAGCTTTTTCATTGCTGTGACTAAAGGACCCAACCAGCACAATTATAAAGGAGGAAGAGTTAGGACTCAAAGTTTCAGAAGTCTTAGTCATAGAAGGCTGGCTCCATTACTCAGAGTTCAAGGTGAGGCTGAACCCCATAGCAGGAGAGGGTAGCAGAGGGAAGCAGCTCACATCATGGTGATCAGTAAGCAGAGAGAGATACTCCACTCTCCAGATATAAATATATATCCCAAAGTCACGCCCTAATTACCACCTCCAGCCACACCCTACCACTAAAGTTACCAGTTTTTAATCTCTATCAGGGGATTAATTCACTGATTGGGTTAAGACTTTTACAACCCAATCTTTTCTCCTCTGAACCTTCTTGCATTGTCTCACAGGTGAGCTTTTGGAGGCACCTCAGATTCAAACCATAATATAGTATATCCCATTTGTGTTGGTTAAAAAAGCAGAAAAGTATAAGCTCATGGGAAAATATCTGGTAGGTTAAGAAATAGTGTTTTGAGTTCTCTCTCTGTACTGAATAGAAGGAGAAGAACTTATTTTTTCGTACTTGAATGTTTCTTGACTGTATTTACTTTTGCAGTATTAAGAAAATAAAGAGATCAATATTTACTAGAGAAATTCTTCATTGTTGATAAATAAAATGGTAGTCTTATCAGGGATTCCCCATCGTGCCATAAAACAACTGTAAGTCTTAGTGGTTTGGATGACCTGTGACCTACCTAATACTCTACTTTTTTCTTTCCATAGCATTATAGCCTTCAGAAAGGCCAACAAAGTGGGCATTTTCATCAAAGTTACCCCTCAGCGCGAGGAGGGTGAAGTGACCGTGTCCTTCAAGATGAAGCATGATTTTAAAAATCTGGCAGCCCCAATCCGCCCCATTGAAGAAAGTGACCAGAGCACAGAAGTCATCTGGCTCACCCAGCATGTGGAACTCAGCTTGGGCCCGCTTCTTCCTTAAAAGGTTACTTTGGTGGGCAGATTCCACCTGAGACAATGTCACCACAGACCTGTGTTAAAACATGGAAGCTCCTGCTTCATTAGGCTTTGTTTATCATGATGTACCCATGCACTACTCGGTCCTCTTCCTAAGAGTGGGAGCACAAGCCAGGCATCGGGAACACAGGGTAACTGCTGTTCCTCTTGCTGTCACCTCTATTGACACCAATCAATCTGTGTTTCCCTCACTGAGCCCTGCACGTTGAATAACAGCAACATAGCTCCATCCCAGTAAAGGGGATGGCTGTTCCTCAGAATGGTGTTATATTTGCCACCTGAGAAACTGACTATACTATCTCTTGATCTGATCTCACAAAGGATCATAATCCGACAGTTGAAACTTAACAGTGATATCCCAAAGGTGGACCTGCTATTAATGATCCAGCATTGGTCTCAATGTACCAGCTGCTTTCTGCATTCCAGTGTAAATCATCTAGCCATCTAAAACTTACCCCTTTATTTGCCAACATGGCTCTCATTTTGTCATAGATTTCTGTTTGGCAAAAAAAAAAAAAAAATAGAATTGACATATTACCTTTAGTTTTGTGATGTTTGGAAAAACCTGTGAAATAAGGCACTCTCATTTACCCTCTTTCTAGATGAATATAGGACACTAATTTATCAGTTGCTTTTAATTTTTTCCCAGAACAATATGAAGCTTTTCCTTTTAAGAATGTGAAAGAAGCAAGGAATTACATGTCATATCAAGAGGGTAGCAAATTCCATTTGTTTTAAGTTTTGCCCCAAAACCTAGGAATGAATGCTGCCACAGGAGACAGTCTTTCTTCTTACTGCTCATCCTCTCTTTTCTTCTCTGCCTTTTTAATTCAATAAATTGTTCTGAGTATTTGGGATTTGAAAAACTCCGCAGGAAACCTGAGTGGACAAGTTCACTTTGAGACTGTAAAAAACATTTTAAAGGTTAGATTTTTAGTATGACCTGAAATAAAGTACTTTCCACTGATTTGAAGAAGAAATGAACTATTACAATGTCTTGAATCCAAAATTGGATATTAAGATGAGGGGGGCAAAAAACACCCCTCACTGAGTCTAAGCCTTTTGTCATATGGTGTATCAAATAAGACCATTTTGATTGTAAACCATAACATAATTCAGCAAGTAGCCCAGAGTGCTGGCCTAACAGCAGAGATGCTGTTTTCACCTGGGTCCTAGCTGGGTTGCTAACCTTAATTTCTGTGATGTTTTCTCAAATGAGACTTAATACAATAAGTAGACCACCAGCTGCACCACATTTTCTCAAAAGTATTCTTGGTGTGTGGTCAACAGACTTTTGAGGAAAGAAAAATTTCCTACTTACTTTTGTTTTTAATTCTCAGTCTTAAAAAAAATAATAAGATATATAATCTAGAATAGAGATACAAAATACTTGTCAGCTCTCCTTGAAAGACAAAGCTATTTGGGAAACTTTTGAAGGACACTAAATTGCACCCTTAAGGTCAATTTTATGAAGCAATATTCTCACAGCCCAATATATTGTGCTGCAACATAAGGGAAAAAATACTCATCTCTAATATTGTGATAATAACTAAAGTTTAGCCTCTAGGGAATTGGGGCAGGGAGATGGGTATTATAAGTTTGCAGACTATAAAAAGAGCTTAATTTTTCGTGATCCCATAGAATGTCAAATTAATTTTTATTTCCCCACGTACTAGAGTCTGTTGTGAAACCACTGCTTCATATTTGCCAGTGAAGGAAATGGGCAACAAAGGAGAGAGTAGCTTCATATGTTTACACATTTGCATAGGCTGCTTGCAGTTTTATGTCATGCCTTTATGGCTTGTAGCTGGTATTTGTTCCCAAAAGTAATAATGTTGCAGTAATAGGTCTCCTCACTCCAGTATGATACTGAAACATAAAAACATTTTTGATCATAGAATTTTTTTCTTCAGAAGCCAAATTAACACAGAATAACAAGAGCCACTGGAGTAATGTTTCCTTGAGATGGGTTTTAGTGCAAGTTGATAATTCTGTGTGTTCATAGAGATGATTCAACACCTGCAGCTGGTGAGTTAGGAATTTCATCTGTTGCCTTTCTTACATTAGATCAGGTGCAAGATTTTTAATGCTAGTGTGCACCACCACAGGAGAGTTAGACCTTGTCTGCACTGGAAACTAAAATTTTGGAAATATAAGGCTAAGTTAGTTTGGATTTGTGATTTGATTCACTCACCAAAGTTTTATTTGTTTCAAAGTACATGTTATAGGCATAATGAGCTAAGTGTCATGCATATTGTGAAGAAGCTTCCTTTTTGGGCCCTTTTGAGAATGAGAGGCACTCTTTGGTCTTCATGAAAGGTTACTGTTTTGCCTTATTGCTTAATGTAGTGAAATAAAGCAGACAAAGCTTGAGTGTATCTTTTGTTTCATTTCACAACTGGTTGGAAGTAGCATGGCTGAAACTGAGAAGATGGATGGTCCCTCCCCTTTATTTACATGAACTAAACTAAAACTTCATATAAGGGTAGTTCATTGTAGGTATTGCTTGAGCTACTTATACACATATTCTTATGACCATTATATAATTGTTGTTAGTCATCTGCCAGCTTTTATATCCTGGGTCATTGTTCACAACAATGTCCTTTCAAATGTACAAAATGGTCCTACTTACACAAGTAGACACTCATCCACTTTTTGTGCCCACATAACCCTTCCTGTTGCTACAATTGAGTTATTTCTGTTTCTCCTCTTAATACTCACCTCATCCTCTGAACTATTCAAGGATATCACATTAGCTTAAGCTTCCTTCCTTGTCTGTATCATTTCTGTTGGCAGGACTCTCACATCTCAGAGAAGTGGACCTCGCACTCCTCCCACAAAGCCACCCATTGCTTTGCTCTCTTCATAGCAAAACAACTCTTACCTTCCTCCTGCCATCCTCACCCAAGCCCATTCCAGTTAGGCCCTCTCTCCTACTGCTTCATCAAAACTGCCCCTGTCAAGGTCACCAGCAATCTCCACACTGTTAAATACAAAGGTCAGTTCTCAGTACTTAATTAGGTAATCTATCTGTGGCATCCAGCAGTTGATCTCTCTCTTCTTCAAAGACTATATTTGCTTCCAGAACACAACACTGGTTTTCTTCTGTCTGACTGGGAATTTGTCTCTCATATCCTTTGCTAGTTCCCTCCTATTTTCCCAGCCTTGCAGTCCAGGTCTCCTTTCTTAACACTTCTTTCTGTGCTTTTTAGTGGTATCACCTCATTTCTAGGCCATCTCCCATATTCAAGTACCATTTCTACAATATTCTCTGAAAGTCCAGAACCATGGTCTGGATTTCTCACCAAATCTGTTCTCCAGGGGTTCCTAAATTAAATGGCAACTGTATTTTTCAGTTACAATAAAATAAATAAATAATAATCCCTTGCTTCTTACATGCCATATCCAGTAAGTCAGTAAATCGTGCCAGCTGTCCTCACACCCTGACCACTTGGCACCATCTCCAACATTATTATCCTATCAAGTCACCATCATCTATATATACCCCTAGAGTGTTTTTCCAGTGGCACAGAAATCTCCCTTGTCCCTCCACCTACCTTAGTCCACTTCCAACACGAGGCAGAGTGACTAAGTCATTTCTCTGCTTAAAATCCATGAAAGTCATCTTAGCTCACTCAACAACAGTAAACTATAAAATTCCTATGGTGGCATATAAGGTCCTATATGACCTGAAATATTCCCCAACCTCTTCCCAGAATCTATCTCCTATTCCTCCTTGTGCGCATGCCACCCCAGTCTCTCCAGGCAGGCACTCTCAGGGCCTTTGCACTGGCTACCTCTGCTGTCATAGATACACATAGCACCCTCCCTCACCACAAGGTCTTTGCTCAAATGTTGCCTTCACATGGCTTTCTCTGACATTGTTTCCTATCCCCCTTGGTTTCATGCCTGCCCCCCAAAACATTAGTTGCCCTCCAACATAGTATACTCTGGTTTGTTTTCTGTCTCACCATTCTAAAACAGAAGCCCCATGAGGGCTGGTATTTTTGTTTTTCTTTATAACTGTTAATTTTACAAAACAGAATGATGACAAGTAGTGGGCACCCTCTCTTTTTTGAACAGATAAATACTATCCCTATGTAGCAGCTGTATCTGCTTTATTTATTTAGTAGTGCTCGGGATTGAACCCAGGGCCTTGTGCAGGCGAGGCAAGCACTTTACCAACTGAGCTATATTTTTAATAAGCTTTTAGAACAATTTTAGGTTCACAGAAAAATTGGCAAAAACAGATTTCCTGCATACCCTTTGCCTCCACATGTACACAGCCTCCCCCACAAAAGCTTACAACACCATTGTGGTACATGTGTTAAAACAGATGAGCAAAAAAATAATAATACCTAGTATGTTCATTAATAATAATAATGCCTCATGTGTTTTTCATTGCTGTGGCCAAAATATCCAACAATAATAACTTTGAATAGGAGAAGTTTATTTTGGTTCATGGTTTCAGAGGTCTCGGTCAATGGTTGGTTGATTCCATTGCTCTGAGCCAGAGTGAGGCAGAACGTCATGGCAGACAAGTGTGGTAGAGAAAGCTGCTCAGCTCACAGCATCTGGAAAGCAGAGAGAGGAAGGCAGAAACTGGAGGAAAAAGATAACACTAAGGACATGCCCTTAGAGATCTAATTCCTCCAGCCATGCCCCACCTGCTTGCAGTTCCCACCCAATACAGTAATCCTGTGGATTAAACCACTGATTAGGTTATATCTCTTAGAATCTAATCTTTTTTACCTGCATCAGTGCAGGAGCTTCTGAAAGACATCTCATGTTTAAACTATAATACCTAGGAATAAATCTAACCTAGCAAGTGAAAAACCTCTACAATGAAAACTATAGAACACAGAAGACATTGAAGAAGACAAAAGGAAATGGAAAGACCCTGCATTTTTGGACAGGCAGTATTAATATCATTAAAATGGCCATATTATCAAAAGTGGTCTACAGATTCAATGTAATCTCCATTAAGATATCAGTGATTGGGGCTGAGGCTGTAGCTCAGTGGCAGAATGTTTGCCTAGCATGTGTGAGGCACTGGGTTTCATCCTTAGCACCACATAAAAATAAACAAATGGGCTGGGGATGTGGATCAAGTGGTAGCATGCTCACCTGGCATGTGTGCAGCCCGGGTTCGATCCTCAGCACCACATACAAACAAAGATGTTGTGTCCGCCGAAAACTAAAAAAATAAATAATAAAAATTAAAAAAATAAAATAAACAAATAAAGGCATTCTGTCCATCTACAACTACAAATCTTTTTAAAAAAATCAATGACATTCTTCACAGAACTGGAAAAAACACTCCTAAAATTCACATGGAAGAATAAAAGACTCAAAATAACCAAAGCAATTCTGAGTAAAAAGAACAATGCTGGAGGCATCACAATACCTGATCTCAAACAATAGGGTTATAGTAACAAAACACTATGGCACTGGAATGAAAATAGACATGTAAACCAATGGAATAGAAGACAAACAAACTCACACAGACACAATCGTCTGATCCTTGACGAAGGCACCAAAAACATACACCAAAGAAAAGACAGCCTCATTAACAAATGGTGCTGGGTGAAATGAGTGTCCATATGTAGAAAAATAGAACTAGATCCCTATCCTTAACCCTGCACAAAATGGATTGAAGACCAAGGAATTAGACCAGAAGACTTTGCAACTGCTACAAGAAAATAAATGTCAACACATCTATAGGCACAGGCAAATAACTGCCCTCGATAGGACTCCTAAAGCTCAGGAAATAATACCAAGAATTAATACCCAGGATGGCATCAAATCACAAAGCTCCTGCAGAGCAAAGGAAATGAGTGTGAAAAGAGAGCTAATAGAATGGCAGAACATCTTTGCCAGCTACTCTTCTGACAAGATTCATATTGAGAATACACAAAGACTCAAAAAACTGAACACCAAAACAACAATCTAATCAACAAATGGGTAATAGTCACCTCTCAAGAGAAGAAATATAAATGGCCAACAAATGTGTGAAAAATATGTTTAACATATTTAGAAATCAAGGAAATACAAACCAAAACTACACTGAAATTTCATTTCACTCCAGTTAGAACAGCAATATCAAGAATACACATAAAATGCTGGCAAGAATGTCAGGGAAAAGAAATGCTTCTACACCATTGGTGAGACTGTAAATTAGGAGAGCCACTGTGGAGACCAATAGGGAGGTTCCTCAAGACTAGAAATGAAGCCACTATTTGACCCAGCTACACCACTCTTTGGTATTTATCCAAAATAATTAAAGTGTACATACAATAGTGATACGTGCACACACACCTGTTTATAAAACGCAGCACAATTGACTGTAGCCAAGTGTCCATCAATAGATGAATGGATAAAGAAAATGTGAGTTTTCTTCAGTCATAAAGAATAAAATTATGTCATTTGTAGCAAAATTGATGGAACTTGAGAGCATTATGTTAAACAAAATAAGCCAGACTCAAAAGTCAAGGATCAAATATTTTCTCTCAAATGTGAAAGCTAGAGAAAAAAATGGAGGAGGGGGATCTCATGAAAATGGGAGTGAAAAAAAGGTAAGCCAAGGGGAGGAAGGAAGAGTGGGGTATGAAACTGACCAATTACATCGTGCATATATAAAAATCACAATGAATTCCACTATTATATATGATCATAATACACCAATAAGCCTATATTGACATATCATTATCACCCGGAACCCATAGTTCACAAATTCATTCATGTTGTACATTTTGTGCATTTAGGCAAAGATATGCGATAGGTACCCACTATTACAGTACCATCCTCTGTGCTCTGCCCGTTTATCCCTCTCACACCCCAACCATAAATTTTTTTACTGTCTCCATAATTTTTGCCTTTTCCAGAATGTTATAGTTGAAATCACAGTATGCAGTCTTGCCAGACTGGCTTCTTTCACTTAGTAATATACATTAAAGGCTTTTCCATGTGTTTTCATGTCTTGATAACTTGGTTGTTGGTGTTTTTTTGGTTTTTTGTTTGTTTTTTTAGTGAATATTGATCTTTTATCATTTAAAATATATATACACAAATATGTGTATGTGTTGAATATGTGTATGTATACAGGGAGGAGGGGGACAGAGACTTTGTCAAAAGTCAAAGGGGACCTGGCACAGTGGTGCACACCTATAATGCCAGCAGCTCAGGAGGCTGAGGCAGGAAGATAGAGAGTTCAAAGCCAGCCTCAGCAACTTAGTGAGGTCCTAAGCAACTCAGCGAGACCTATCTGTAAATAAAATATACAAAAGGGCTGGGGATGTGTCTCAGTGGTTAAGCGCCTCTGGCTTCAGTCCCTGGCAAAAAAAAAAAAAAAAAAAGCCAAAGGGCTTCTTACTTTATGCTTTCTTGTTCTGATGTTTTTGTTTTTGTTTTGGTACCAAGGACTGAACTCGGGCACTCAACCACTGAGCCACACCCCCAGCCCTATTTTTTTGTATTTTATTTAGAGACAGGGTCTCATTGAGTTCCTTAACACCTCGCTTTTGCTGAGGTTGGCTTTGAACTCACGATCCTCCTGCCTCAGCCTCCCAAGCTGCTGAGATTACAGTCGTGCACCACTGTGCTCGGCTGTTCTAGTGTTTTTTATACCTAGGATTCTCTTCTTGCTCTCTGAACTGTTAGGATTACTTCTCTGCTCTCACCTAAATGTGAGAGGTTTTTGTTTGTTTTTGGTTCTGGGAATTGAGCCCAAGTGTGCTTTCCCACTGAGCTTTACTTCTCCCCTATTCATTCATTCATTCATTTAGACAGTCTAAGTTGCTGGCTTCAAACTTGTCATACTCCTGCCTCAGCCTCTGGAGTCATTGGGATTACACTTGTACACCACCACCCCTGGCCTAAATATGGTCTTAATTCACAAAACTGTACTTCTCCAAGGCAAGTACCTCTTTCTTCCTTTCATTGTAGAGTTTCATATGAGCCTAGCTCATTTATTGAACAGTAGATTCCCTAGGAGTCAAATCCAGGTCCCTTTGCCATCTATTTCTCCCACACACTGGATTCAAAGGGCAGTGTACAGCAAACTCCAAAACTCAAGCTAAGTTGCTTGTTAAATGGCAATTCAGTCATATGCCACATGACATTTTCAATTAACAATGAACCATATATGTGACAGTGGTCCCCTAAGATTATATTATTTAATGAGATTATAGCCATCTTAGTTTGTGTAAAGTACACTCTATGATATTCATACAATAACAAAACTACAAAGCAATGCATTTCTCAGACTTATTCCTATCATCGAGTGACACATTTTCTGGTAGTCAGGTCAGTAATAATTTAGTAAAGTATATTTCACAGTATTCAATTCCTACACAAAGCAACAACTTAAAGTGTTAAATGAAAGTAACATTAAATAATATGGAAATCAAATGGTGGAAGAGTTTTTTTCCTTCTTATTCTCATGCTCCCATCCCCTTTGTGGTTAAGTCAAAGGAAAAAAATATCAGCACTAATGATGTTTATAACATCTAAGAATAAAATGTCCATACTATTATGTTTGTAACAGCTGATACATCCTTGTTTCCTGGGTTTTTTGTTTGTTTGTTTTGTTGTTGTTTTGTTTTTTGTTGTTGTTTTTATCAGACTTCTGGATGGAGGCTTTCAAAGTCAACAATAGCACTTGCTAAATAACACTGTTTCATTGTCATTGTACTTGTTTTTAAGGCCACATATAAGCATGTGATACTAACTTTCCATTTGCAGAAGTGATAGAAATATTCCTCTTAAAATAAATTTAAATAAAATTGGTTGACTCCAGAGTTCTATAGAACTTCTGGCTATCATGTAGACATCTGTAAAGAATCCTACCCCCACTCAAAACCAAAGAGTGAACAGATGACAAAATCATTACTGTTCTTGGATCTATTGGAGAGCTCATGTGACACAGCAACCGAATGGCCTCAATTCCAAGGAGAGACAGAGCCCCCAAAGGAGAGAGAGAACGTGCAGACTGCTTCACCTATGGCAGATGTGGGGACGTGTTAGCCAACATACAAGCAGGTAAGAGGAAATCAACTGAGAAGTTAAAGAATTTCTAAAGGTCAAATACAAGCTACACAACAGCATAACATTCTGGGAGTGCAAGACAAGAAGGGAGCTAGCTCGTGAGCACTCACAAGCTCTTTCTAAAACCTCCACCAGGTGTTCATGAGAAAAATGGGCAAGGTAGGAGCTCTAGAGAGTCTTGCTTGGTTAGGAGGGATGTAAGGAAGATTGCGTGTGAGAAAGGTTGTAAAACTTTTCCTCCCTGCCCGGGCCCTTCCCTCATAATGAGTGAAAGGCCTTAGCCACTGACAGAGGAACAGAATATCCTGTCTTCCCAGATTATCAATGCCATTAAAGGGTCCTGCCCAACCCAGAGACATAGACAGAGGTTTATTTAGGAAAGTACATATATATTGAAGAAAGAATAGGGCAATCTCACAAAGAAGACACCTTTGTGGTAAAACAAGGATTATGCATTTTATCTCTAGAGGGACAGACGGCCCTTAAAGGTCTGTGGAAAGGAGAGAAACTCTCCCCTACCATACCAGGCACAGAGTTTAACTGCTAGAGGGAAGAGGGGAAAGAATACTGAGTAAGGAACCATTCCTAAAGCCCAGACACACAAGGCCTAAAGACTTAAGCTGCATTGAATTAGAGCAACAGAGAACCCCTTTATCCCTCCTTCACTAACAGCCTAGTCAGCAGCTAGTAACAAGCATCGGTGCTTGGGGGATGGGCAAAGGCACAGAAGGAAACATACCTCTACTGAGCAGCTATGCAGAATAGCTATATGCTCAAGGATGAACTTTCGGAAAAGTTCTCCGGCCCCAGCCTAAATCAAAATAAATAAATAAATAAAATGCTAGAGGATGTAAAATCTATGACACTAAAAGCAACCACAACAACAAAACCCAAACTCACTGTATCCCAAGCACTGAGAGGCTAAAGCATGAGGATCTCAAATTGGAGGTCAATTTCAGAAACTTTAGCAAAACCGTGTCTCTAAATAAAAAGGACTGGAGATGTAGGTCAGTGATAAAGTGCTCCTGAATTCAATCCCCAGTACCAAGAAAAAAAAAAAAAAGAAAGAAAAGAAAGAAAGAAAGAAAAGAAAAAGAAACAAAAACCAGCTCAGTTCCTGAACTTATAGACCAAATTCCAAATAACAGATCTATCAGGACATAATCCTATGTAAAACCAGGAACACATGCAAAGGATGGTTGCTGTGAGCTGAGCTGAGTGTAGGAGTAAGTGAATCTTCTACTGGCACCAAGGAGCTCCTTGGAGATGATGGAACTATTCTGTATTTGTGGTGAATGGATGCAAAAATTCATAACTGTACAACTAAAAAGATAAAAACTTACCAAATATAAATTATACTTCAAATAAACTTGATTTTTAAAAGTTATAAACTTATTAGGTTGTTTAATAAAAGTGACACTAGAATGGCTTGAAGATCATAAAACTATTGGCAGAACTGTTGAGTCATTCCAAAATTGAAAAAATGTATAAGCCCAGCACGGTGGCGGCACGGGAGGCTAAGATGGGAGGTGCCAGAGTTCAATCCCCGGTACTAGCTCTAAGAAAAAATTAATTATATATTTATATCCCAAGACCTTTCTTGTGTCAGAATTCAGAAAAAAAAATAGTATTAATGCCTTTGCAGTTGTGTTTCGCCATTTTTAGCTCCACAGGCAAGGGCCGGTTACTTAATCTTCTGAAATCTGTTTCCTTATCTATGAAAGAGGAATCAACATACTATAGGACACCTAGTTAAATATGATTTTTAGATTTTAAAAAAATGACACCAACTTTAGTATAAAATATGTATCAGACGTATTTATGTTGAAAAAAATGATTCCTTGTTTATCTCAAATTCGACTTCACTAGACGTTCTCTATTTGTCTGCTAACACTGGCAACCATACAGAGAGGTCATTGTGAGAATTAAACGAGACTGGCACCGCCAGACGTTCCCCCAGCGTTTGTCATGATTACCGCCCAGTGGTGGCCAGGCTTGTTTGAACCCCAGCCCCAGCCCCTCATTCAGCATCTGCTCCTTCACTCTGCGCGTGGCTTTATCCCAAGTAGACACCAACGCGAAGGGAGCGTCGGAGCATAGGACACAAAAACCCCAACTATTAAGCGAACGTTCGAAGAGAGGTGACGTCACGACGCACAAGGCCCCGCCCCGAGGGCGGCACTAGGCGCGTAAATAAGACGTCGACAGCTGGGCGCCAGCCCCGGGCCTGACGGGATTGTGGCGGTCCTCTCGCCCAACTCGGAAGCTACCGCTGCCCCCCGGACGCTCTCAAGATGGCGACCTCGCTGGGTTCCAACACCTACAACAGGCAGAACTGGGAGGATGCGGTGAGTGTACCCGCCGGAGGAGAACGGCAGGAGGCGGCGAAGCCCAGCCTCAAGCGGGAGGGCTGACTGAGGCTGCGGCGCGACCGAGGGAGCTCCAGGGAGGACCCGATGCTGCGGCCTAACTCGGCGGGAGCAGGAGGCTGGAGCGTGGCCCTCCTGCGGCTTGGAGGGAAGGGACTTAGCCAGGGTCCCAGGACAGCCGCCTTTCCATCCCTGCCCCCTCCAACCTTTTCCAGCTGATTTTCTTTTCTCCCGCCGCCTGCCGGAAGTGCAGACAGCGCCCCCTCCCGCGACCCGGCCCGTGCTGGACCTGGGGTTCCTCCTGCCTTTTCCTCCCGGCTCTCTCTCCCCGCCCTCCCCCGCCCCCACGAGTGGGATGGGGTGGCAGGATCTTTGGAGCTTGATCCTCATCTATATTTCTCATTTTCACCAGGATTTCCCCATTCTGTGCCAGACTTGTCTTGGAGAAAACCCATATATCCGAATGGTGAGTGATTTCGCGTGTGAACGGGAGTTATTGCATATGTTCTGACATTCTCTGGAAAGTGTTTCCCTTTCCGTCAGAAAAAATGATGCTTTTTTACTAACCCAGAGTGCTGGATGATTTGCAAAAGACTGTCATTCTTACTCTCTCACTTAGGAATTTAGCAGTGATCCTGTAATGTAGGAATCATAACGACTAATATTTGTTGAGCATTTAGCTAGGAAATACGTCTATTCCAGAGATCTAGAGAGCTTATGTCTTCTCATATGGCAAGTAAGGAGTGGAACTAGGATTTAAATTCAGATATTCTGACTTCAGAGACCTCAGCAATTAGGAGGAGAACCAGGATTAGATTCCTGACTCCTAAGTCATATGCAATTCAGCCACTGTACTTAGTACTGTCTTTAGTGTAAGAGACACTGTTCTTAAAAAGACAAGGGTAAAAGAGCAATAGTAATTAAGTTAGAACTCCATTATTGTGATTAGTATATGTTGTGTGAATAACTTATGGAAACAGAACTTTTACTCTCTATGCTCTCTATGCCAAGGTATCTGCATAGGCTAGAGTAGTTATCTTCTTACCAAACTTTGTGAAAGGGACCAGCCATAGCTATATCCTGATTTAATTAGGAATTTAGTTCTTGGGAGCCAGAATGAACCTAGGAGTTATGACTGTGCAAAGACATTTGCCTGGTATTAGATTCATAGACTCTTGAGAGAGAATAACTCAAGAGTATGTTGTCTGAATATTTCCTCTATCCTACTCTCCCTTTTGGGGAAAAAATCCAAACAAAACCCCCCAATTAAGTTAAGTTTGGGTCCCCCCCACTTTAGGATGCCAGAGATCTCCAGACACATTTCTTGGGTTGTCTATAGGGTAAGCATAGACATTCTTCCTGTAACTAGTTCTTTTCTTTCTTTCTTTTTCTATTTCAGACCAAAGAAAAGTATGGGAAAGAATGCAAAGTAAGTATGTTAAGAAATAATGATATTTTTTTCTTCTTTTTCTCTACAACACTAACTTTTACATACTAAGCATAAAAGTCAGTACTCTATAACTTTCATATGTCACCGGTATATCACTGGCTGGTAACTATTTAGTGTGGGAGATAAGAAAAATGACCTTGTAATGTATTGATTCTTGACCTAGTGATGGTGAGTAGGCATTGAACATCAGAAGTTTGTATAATAAGTGTTGTTATGATTGTGCTTGTGAGCATTTTAGCTGAGAAGGAAAGTCATAGCTGACATAAGATTCTCAAATGATTATGTGATATTCCCCACTTCCTCCTCTCTCAGAAAGATTGAAGGATTATTTGTCTTTGTTGTTGTTTTGTGGTACTGGAGATTGTACCCAGGGCCTTGCTCTTGCTAGGCAAATACTCTACCTCTGAGCCACATCCCGGGGCAGAGTCAGATTATTAATGTTGCTCATCTCTAAGGTGGGAGGACTTTTAACTATTTAAATATTTTGTTTCTATACTATGTGGATTTTTTTTAACTATTGGCAAAGTGTGCTGTAAATTGTATTGAAACAGTTGGTATTTAAACAGGTGATTGCTAAGGTCTCTTCTAAACCCTAGATTCAAGAATCCTTTCTTGAATTCCCCGTTTTTATTAAATCTCCTGGGTTTATTATCCAGATCAGAACCCATAACACTCTGTGGCTCTTGTTTGTGTTCAGATCTGTGCCAGGCCATTCACAGTGTTTCGCTGGTGTCCTGGAGTCCGCATGCGCTTCAAGAAGACTGAAGTGTGCCAAACCTGCAGTAAATTGAAGAATGTCTGTCAGACCTGCCTCTTAGACCTAGAGTATGGTATGTTTGCCATGTCCAATAGGTCTGTAAGTGTAAATGTTCCCTAAACAACAAACTTGTCTCTCACTTCTCTCCCTGCCTCTGGCTCTGATCCTACTTTGGAATGTCTGTTGTGGTCTACTTCTCCCAGGAGTAGAATCATAATTAATCCACTCTAGAGTCCTGAACAATATAGTAGGATCTTAAGGAACAGTTGAGAAGTAAAAGAACTGACCTATACCTCCATCTCTGTAGCCAAGGTGAGGTAAAAGACATTGATCCTGTAATAGGAAATTCTTAGCCTTGGGCTTTTTTCTTCAGCCAGAGCTTTTTTCCCACAATCCCAATCAGAAGCTCAAAGACTAATTATGCTTTAAACTTTTATCTCAGCTGGGTTGTTAGAACCAAAATACTATATTGTTTACTGTTTTATAACAGCTACTTTGGGAATTATTTTTTTCTTTTAAACTGTAGGTGACTTTTTAGGAAAAGAAATTTGCCAACAAAAATTCTATATAGTTAAATAAGAAGGGAAAGGAAAATGTGTATTAATATATGTGAAGCTCAGAAAGGACTCTGGTAATCAGACTCTTAGCCACATATTGTTTAATAGTATTTATATATTTATTAATGAGAATTTTGGTCCTGAAGAATAATCAACCTTGTGTGTCTGTGACTATCTGTAGCATCTGTAGGATCAGCCTTGAAATAAATTTCTTTAAGATAAATTTTACATTTATTTTAAATAAGTTGTGTTAATAAAGTTTAGATACATTATTAATTTTCAGGTCAAATATGACTATAACCCAAGTTTATTTAAAAGATTTTCTAGGGCTGGGTTTGTAGCTCAGTTGCTTATCATGTGTGAGGCACTGGATTCAATCCTAAGTACCACATAAAAATAAAGATATTGTGTCCATCTACTATAAAAAATATTTAAAAAAAAAAAAAAAAGGTTTTCTAATGCTGGGTGCAATGGTACATGCCTGTATTCCCAGCGACCCCAGAAGCTGAGGCAGGAAGATCATGAATTAGAAGCCAGCCTCAACAACTTAGTGAGGCCCTAAGCAACTTAGCGAAACCTGGTTCTGATCCCACTTTGGAATGTCTATTGTGGTCTACTTCTACATAAAAAGAGCTGGGGATGTTGCTCAGTGGTTAAGCATCCTTGGGTTTAATCACTAATAACAAAACGAAAAGATTTTCTAAAATATTCACTCCATCAAATTTTATGGCAGCTTAGAAGTTTAGACAGTTCTTTAGAATGCATGTAGCAGTATCAGTCTGGTGATGCTGAAGAATTTAAATAAAAATATAGTAAAGAGGGCTGGGGATATGGCTCAAGCTGTAACCCGCTTGCCTGGCATGCTCAGGGCGCTGGGTTTGATTCTCAGCACCACATAAAAATAAAAGATGTATCCACCGAAAACTGAAAAACAAATATTAAAAAATTATCCCCTCCCCTCTCTCTCTTTAAAATATATATATAGTAAAGTGTCTGATACCAAGTAGGACCAAGAGAAAGGAAGAATTTTTATTCTGTTTGTTTATTTAATATGGACATGTTTTTAAATATATTTGAGGTTTTCTTCTCTATTCCTTTGTACCAGGGCTGCCCATCCAGGTTCGTGATGCAGGATTGTCTTTTAAAGATGACATGCCAAAGTCAGATGTCAACAAAGAGTACTACACACAAAACATGGAAAGAGAAGTATGCTGGCACTTTCATGATGTATT